AGCACAGTGACTTCAAGATTTATCCACCTTGTAACATGTGTCATAATTTCTTAGCTGTTAAGGCTGTGTAGTGCCCCATTGTGTCTACACCACATGTAGTTTATCCATTCATCTGCTGATGGACACGAGTTGCTTCCACCTTTTGCTATTGTGATTAATGCTATGATGACCATGGATGTGCCCATGTCTGTTCCAGTCCCTGCTTTCAAGTATTTTGATCATACACCCTGAAGTGGAATTGTTGGGTCCTATGTTAACCCCACGTGTAAGATTTTGAGGAACTGCCATGTTGTTTTCCACAGTGCTTGCACCATTTTACTTTATTCCTTTATCTGGCAGGATCGTAGGGCAGTTTGTGGACAGACCTCATTTGTTTATCTATTCAGCCTGTGACGAATATTTCAGTTGTGTTACCTTTTCCGCCATTGTGAATATTGCTGCTGTGAACGTTCATGCACAGTTTTTTGAACACCTCTTTTTAACACTTTGATGTCTATATCTAGGAGTGAGGTTGTTCAACCATAAGGTAACTGTATTTTAATCTTTTTGAGGAAATGACAAACTGTTGTTAATATAGTCTGTGCCATTTTCCAATTCCATAAGTAAAGTTTAAGGGTTTCAGTTTCTCTGCAGGTTTGCCAATATTTGTTATTTTTATTTAGTTTTTTTTTAAATTGTAAGCAATCTAGTGTGTTTGAAGGGGTATGGCATCATACTGATTTGTATTTCCATCATGACTAATGATATTTTCCTGTGCTTGTTGACTATTTGTATGTCTTGTCTGGAGAAGGGTCTATTTGAGTTCTTTGACTGTTTAAAAAATTGGCTTGTTTGTCTTTCGGTTTATGAGTTGTAAAAGTTCTTAGTATATTCTTGATAAAGATTCTTTTCAGATACATAATTTGAGAATATTTTTCTTGATTTTGTGGGCTGTCTTTTCACTTTCTGGATAGCATCTTTGATACACAAAATTTTTAATTTTGAGGAAATGCAATTTATCTTTTTTCTTTCATTGCTTGTGTTTTGGTGTCAGATCTAAGAAAATGGCTAAATCCAAGGTCATGAGGATTTACTCCCATTTTTTGGGGACAGTTTATACAGCTGTCCCTCTCTGTCTGTGAGGTATTAGTTCCAGTGCTCAAGTCCTTTGCATAAAATGGTGTAGTAGTTGCAAATAATCTAAGCGTATCTTCCTGTTTACTTCAAATCATTTCTAGATCACTTATAATACCTAATACAATGTAAATGATATGTAAAGAGTTCTGGAAAAATGTAATGTGAAATAGTTGCTGGCATGCAGCAAATTCAAGTATTTCTGTATGGAACTTTCTCAAAATATGTTTTTGTTTTTCTTCTCATGTCTGAAGTTGGTTGATTCTGTGGATGTGGAAACTACAGATAAGAAGGGTTGATTGTAATTTTATTTCTTTTAAAATTTAAGCTTTTTATCTATCTTGAATTAGTTTTGTGTGTGGTGTGAAGTAAGGATCCAATTTTTTTCTTCTGCGCCACACCCTATCTCCTTTCCTAGATGTGCTTTTGGAGTCTCTTCCCCTCCCCCCAGCAGAAATACTGGGCCTGAGGCCCGCAAACTCTCCCTTCCCATCAGGCCTCACTACTGAGCCACAGGGTCAGCCTTGTATAGCCCTCTTTCCCCACGGGAAAATCACGCCGGAGAAAGGAATGTGGAGTCCTGCTTGTCAGCGCGACAGACAGGGAACAGGGACAGCGACAAAAGCGCCTCGAGGAACCCAGGACCACAGCACCCAGAAACCCTTGCATGGTGTGGTACTACAGTACCCAGAAGCCTTGGTGTGGTCCCATCCTGAGGTTACAGTACCCAGAATCCTCAGTGTGCCCCCCCATCCTGGGACTACAGCACCCAGGATCCTTGGCGTTCCCGCCCACCCAGGGACCACAGTACCCAGATTCTGCGTGTGTCCCCTCCCTTAATCCTGGGGCTGTAGTACTCTGAGGTCTCA